GGGGCTGAAAGTTCCAAAAAAAGGAAGTCAAATACTCGAATTTATCTTGTCAGGATTTAGATGTACATTAGCACAGCTTTCCAGATGAGATATATCATATCTGTTTTTCCTCAGTACATCGTCCATGCATGATACACAGACGGGGAAAACAAATGCTATAGCTAAAATACTGATATGGTCTGCACCTGCTTATTTCTAGTCTGCAAAACCCTTTGATGCGCTCCCTTGCTCTACCTTCTGCTGGCATTCCTTCATGCCACATTTAGTTGGTCCAGTTTCTCAGATAATTTTTAACCCGCAAAAAAAAAGAGTCTCAGATCATTTTTAACCCTCAAAAAAAAAGTTTCTCCAATCATTCTTCCCTAAAAATATATCACCTGTCATCCTAAGGCGATAATTTTGAATTATGGTCTCATTTTTTTGACATTCTGGTATAATTAATAGGACATGGGTATTGAACAACCTGAATTAGTCGACCTGGTTCATAAACTTGAGGATCTTGAGCAGAAACTATGTTCTCACCCACTTCATAAGGTATGCCTTATTGTCACCTTTCAATTAAGAAATGCCCAGTCCTGTTTTTACCTGATGCACTTATTTTTTGCTATTTTTGTGTCTCAGTCCGATCAAAGTGAGCAGCAACTGTCATGGTACCAAAGAAAAGCTGAACTGAATCATGAAATCCAGCAACTAAAGTCAAAGATGCGGGATTCACAGGTTGGTTGAATGTTTGCATGGTTGATCCTTGTTATAAACAGCTAAATGTGTTCTCACATTCTCCTCCATTCAGCTACAAAAATTTAGGGATGAACTGAAAAACCGGTCTCGTGTTCTGAAGATGCTGGGTCATATTGATGCGGATGGTGTTCTCCAGTTAAAGGGGCGTGCTGCCTGTTTGATAGACACTGGGGATGAGCTGCTTATCACTGAACTTATGTTTAATGGTACCTGTTTAATATGACTGTGGGTTCAGTTTTTGCTTACTTTATATTCAGTATTGCATTAATATGTTTATGTGACTAGGTACATTTAATGATCTTGATCATCATCAAGTTGCCTCCGTTGTTAGCTGCTTTGTTCCGTGTGAGAAGTCAAGTGAGCAAATACGCCTGAGAAATGAGCTTTCTAAACCAATGATGCAGCTCCAGGAGGCTGCAAGAAAAATAGCTGAGGTGCATACTTGTTGTATCATCACTATATCGCCACCCATCTCCCTATAATCCCTATGCTTGATTAGGAACTCTGATTTCTCACTCTTGTTTTAGGTACAACGGGAATGCAAATTGGATCTCAATGTTGAGGAATATGTTGAATCAACTTGTAAACCCTACCTGATGGACGTCATATACTGCTGGTCAAAGGTTGGTCAGCCTATGCAGTTCATTAAACTAGATCTTGTGTTCCATTTTTTTTTTGGAAATTCTCCAGGCATTAAGATATCTTATTTCCAATTGAGACATCGATTCTTATCATGCATAATCTCAGACATCTGATGCAATCATACTCTGCATCTGTACTGCTGCTGCAGTTTTTGTAGTTATTTATGTGTAGAGTCCTGAAACATTTTCCTCACAGGGCGCCACCTTCGGAGAGGTGACAGAAATGACTGACATTTTTGAAGGAAGCATCATACGGCTAGTTAGGAGGCTGGATGAATTTCTGAATCAGGTAAACCACCTGTTGGTTCCGGGCACTAGTACTAAAATCATTTGGATAGAGAGTGTCTGTCTTTGATTATCCCATTTGACTTAAAGTGCATGTGAATAAAAAAAACTGCCTTCAATTGATCCATTAGATCAATGTACATGTGAATACAAGTGTGACATGTCCTTCTAGCGAAATGTCGTGGTATTCTCACGGGGGGTGTTGCAAGACGACATATGCCACAAGGGCTTAGTGTGAGGGTAAGACTGCTGCTGATAGGCCCGGGAGCGGGTATGCGAATAGCACGCAGTGGTTTACCCAGCTTCGGAGCTCTCCGGAGAGATAATACTCCTACTGATGCATGTCTGAGTGTATCTGGTATGTATATCTGGTACAGTGTGCTCCTGGAGCTGTATCTGAGGTCAGTGCCATAGGCATCTGGCCTCGTATATGCCTCGTATGTGGCATGCTAGTGGCCGGCCATGCTCATGGCCGTGAGCATGTGGGTGCTCATGCGTGAGTGCATGAGAGAATGAGTCCATCCTGGATGGATGGATGTGTGCCCATATATATAGGCATGGCTAGCTTAGGAAGTAAGCTAAGTGGTGGCATGGGCAAGGCATGGTGGGGGGTGTCATCCTTGTCCCCTGGGTCACTTCATAAATAGTGCCAGGGGACAAGTGACACTATACATGATGGCTGAGATGACATGTGAATAGTGCTCGGGTACGGCCGTCTCGTCGGTGTCTTGTCGGTGTCGCTTCGGGCTGCAGTCGGCAGCCGGCTGGTTGGCACAGTCGGCAGCCGGCAACCGGCCGGACAGAGCAATCGGACGGGGAGCCGGCAGGAGCGGCCGGGCAGTCGGACTGAGGGGCTTTGCTAGCCCTGATGTCTTGAAATATCGTCTTGCCGTCTTCGGGGTACCCGTGGTCAATTACTCCGACACGAAATGTCCATAAACTGTCAACATTTACTCTCAACTGTGACATGACTGAATATGATGAACAAGTTGGACTGTAGCTAGATATGTAAGAAATGTTATCTATTTCTGTTTATCTCCATATATAGAAGTTGTGATTGGCATCGACTTTCTTTTTTGCCCTTTTCTGCATGCCCAACACTTTTACTTTTCTATTACAAAGTTCTGTAAATAGTCAAGAAAATAAGCTTGCTTTGTTTTCCTTTGTCGAACCAACTGACTTGATTTGTTTGCCAGCTAAAAGCCGCTGCTGAAGCTGTTGGGGAGGTTAATCTTGAGAGCAAGTTTGGATCGGCGAGTGAGAGCTTACGACGTGGCATCATGTTTGCTAACTCATTGTATCTGTGATGAGTGCTCCAGCAGTTGTAACATACAGTATATGTTAAACAAACCAAACGTAGCTGTTTTGTTTTTTGTTTTTGACGGCCCTTATCTCTGGGAGTGTAGGTTGTAGCCTTGTACCCTGGTAACCCCTGGGCAGTTTATTTTGGAAATTCTTATCCAGGCATTTTATTTAGAAATTCTCCAGGCATTGAGATATCTTGTTTTAGTAATTTCACAAAAGATTGAAAGCCATCGCTACACATGAACTGATTTAGGTTTCATACACGGATATATCAGGTGGCGCTAGAGTAACATTTTTTGCCAGTGGTCTGAAAGGGCGCAAAAGTTCTATTTGGCCAACTCCAACGCGCCGACGCAAACTGGTGCTGGTCTGTCTTGCAGCAGCGCTGGTCGGCCTTACAGTGTCGCAGGCCTGGATCACAGCATCAGTCTGATTTTGTAGCAACAAAATGCCAACATTGATCAACCATGCAACATCGTGCATTCAATTTTGCAGCAAATTTGTTAGCCTTGTAGCGTTGTGCATTGGGCCTTGTAGCGTCTAGTATTCGGCCTTGCAGCATGTAGAGCCACGTGGCCCGCCTTGCAACATGGCAGTCCAAATTTTGCAAAAAAAAAAAGAAGAAAGGTGGATGATTTTGCGGGGAGAGACAGTGTGTGACCTTGCGACAATGTTCACTCGGTTTGCAGCAACTTTGACATGTCTTGCAGCGTCAAGCGTCCGACTTGTAATATTCATTGTATCATACATTTGCGTGCTTCTGTCTTGAAACAAAAGCCACACGGCCTTTCAGTGGCACACGTCCAGCTTGCAAAACACAGGGGTTTTCTTTAAAGGCAACTAATACTCCTTTTTAATTTTTTTGAATCAGGCAAACAATACTTTTGCTTATTCTTTCACGTTCCCCTCTTGAGTTAATAACAACAATCGCAGTGCCATGTTTTTAATAGAAAGCTTGTCGTGTCTTGTAGCTAGTGCATGGCAGCAAATACACTGGGATGTAGAGCCATGGATATTAAAACATTAGAGATGAATAGATCAAAAAAATTCTCGTAAGAGAAAAACACGTACGCAAATGATTCAAGCTCCAGGAAACAGGGGTCTGATTAGGGGATCAGATGCATCGGGAGAAATCAGTCGCCTGATTTGAACGTAATATTCTATTCTAAAAGAAATCACATGAGCGTACACCAAAGTACTCCCCTATAAAGTACTAGTCTCTCCGTTTATTTTTATAAGTTGTTTCAAACAAGTGAAATTGTGCTGTTTTGCACAGTCTGAAACATCTACAAAACCTTATAAAAATGAACAGAGAAAGTATATGACTTTACAGAGAGAGTAGTACACAAACTATCAAAAATAGCAAATACTAGTACATTTCGTGTGGGTGCAGGGCCACAAACGAGAACTGTTTCATAGATTTAGAGTTTTTTACTCCCTCTGTTCACTTTTGTAAGTCCTTTAGGATAGCTGAAATTGAACTGTATTAGGTGCTGTCTTAAATGTCTAAAAGGTCTTATAAAAGTGAACGGAGGGAGTATTTAAATTCGAAGGGCACATTCAGAAACTCGAATTTTATGGGGGGAAATGTGGCCGCAAATACTTTTTGCAAAATTGATACTGATACCCATGACAGCGATGTAACAAATTTATCATGCATACAACCGGTGCCTTCAGCAATAGTTTTCAGAGCGTCGGAAATAAACAAACATAACAAAAATCTGATTCTGCAACAATTCCGGAACACAAATACAACTCCCTCTCTTCATAAGATTATTCTTTTCTAAAATGTTACAGGACTAATGGACAATTATCATCTTTCTTCACAACTTCTTTTGCCACCACATTTTTACCTCAACTTTACAAAGAATGCCAAATAAATCAATCATCAGGAGCAAAACTGATGGCCCAGAGATACCAACAAAGTTGAGAAGTTCCGTGTGTGTGTGTGTGTGGCTAGACGAGCCTTCTTCAATGTTTAACTATGTAGGTTAACAATTTCACCGTGCTTACTCAGCTGGTGTTATGCCGCTATTTACCAGCTGATAGCATCTTCTGAAGCTGTATCACCTGCTGCTGCTGCTCCACTGGCAATGAACTCAGCTGCTCAGGTGTCAGTTGTAAGACTTGCTGCAGAAGGGCTGACTCATCGTCCTGTGTGAGCTGCACCATTACAAGAAGAGTTGGAGTTGTGAGCACATGAGAATTTAAAGTCTAAGAAACCTTGCGCCTCAGTACAATTCAATTGCAGAGACACGATGCAAAATGTTTAGAACTTTAGTTAGGTCAGATTCTGCAGATACTTTACCAGCATCCAATAATGCAAGGTATAATAAAATAACAGGAAAGCTGGAAAATGGAACTGAAATTTAGAGGCGATTACCTGAGGCGCTTCATTCTCTGGTTGCTGGAAGTGAACAGCACCAGAACTATAGCTCCCTGATGGTCCACTAGGGACCACTACCTGCGATGGAGCAGAATAAACAGCAGGACTATTGTTTACAATTCCTGGCGTTGATGTTCCATCCTCCAATTTTCTCAATTTCGAGGGATGGTCTAACTCTGCCTGATGACTAGCTCGATCAGGCAATCTTATCTCATTGGGGAGTATCTCAGGTTCAGCAGCAACCTGCAATGTGACACAAGAGTTCAATTTTGTAGACGGTAAAATTAGTGAATCTTGTCCATGGACTGACAGAAACAACTTGACTAGAAAAAATCACTTAATTTGCGTAGGCAATACACAAATAGTTAATGTACTGTAAAGTTTGGTTTCCAGTACATAGTTTACATGTGTTCTGTAAATTAGAAGACCCAATCAAGATGATTAATAAGTCATCGCAAAGTTTGGCTTGCTACTTATCGCACCATTAATGAAAAACCATAAGCTCCTCATATGTGAAAAAGAAATACCTGGGAGAGATGAGGATTGGTCAAGGGTAGTTGCTGTACATTAGTTGGCATAACTGGTGGTCTAGGGTGCTGTGTCAAAAATGAAGGCTGAACTTGTGATGTCAAGCCTCCTGAGTTTACAAGGGGTTGAGTAGGAACACTGGAAGAGGTGCCGAAGGGCTGAGATAGCATTGGAGGGTGTGCCAGCACCCCAGGCTGATGTCCATGCGGAAACATTTTGACTGGAGGCTGAGATGAATGCTGATACTGAGGAAAGTTATGCAGCGGTGCAGTTTGTTCCTGCATGGCATTAGGGTTTGGTGGAGGTCTATGAACAATTGGTAGCACAGCATCTGGCTGCGGAAATGATTCATTGAGGTGAGAAGATTGTGCCAACGAGCTAGAGGGCTGTTGGCTCTTAGCCATCTGCATCTGCGAATTCGACAGACCTGGGTTAGTATATTAGAGAATCAGGAAAACATTAGGTAGTACATCAAACTCAGAACAAAGCAAGAATATACCATCTGAGGTGTCACCAGCCCGAGCATTATCTGTGCCTGCATTACAACAAGAAAAAGGTTATGATGTTCTAATAATATTCCATTCTACCCTAGAGTGACTAAACAATGAACAAAAGTATTTTAAAAAAGCTCTTCCATGGAATCACAAGGCTCAACATATAAAGTTGGCTGGCCTTCCTGTCTTTCAACAATGGCCTCCACATTAACACAACAAATATTTGATCTACAACTATTCAATAAATTAAGGGAACGCAATTTTATTTTTATCTTTTTGCCTTCTGGGAGAACAAGACAACCATGAATCACATCAAAGTTCTAACAAACACAACCAGAATACTTGAGTTGGTTAAATTTATATTAAGAAGGGTGTATGAAATTTGTGAAGATGAATGAAGCATAACTAACAAAAATAGGCACAAATTTTGGGTGGAGAACTCATACAGACTCCATTATGTTATATTTTGGACAAGTGCACAAAAACAGGAACAGAAAGTAATACTCCCTCTGTATCAAAAAACGTCTTATATTTTGATACGGAGGTAGTAATTGATTAATTGAGCAATCAGTTGCAAAGCTAACCTGAAATAGGGCCTTTGGAAGCTGTGGAATTCCTTGCAGCAGTTTTTTGGCAAGGTCGTTATTTTGAGTAGTTAGGGTCTGCCATAAAAAAAAGCATTCAACTAAAACTATCAGTGAGCAATTTTTAATCTTCATGAATTGATATTGATATTGATATTTCAAGATAACCTTCAACTCAGACATGATTTGATACAACTGATGCCTTGACATCCTGGCCAAGTAATGGGTAAGAGGGTCGTTTCCAAGCCCAAATTGGACAGGTAAACCATTTTGTACATTTGCAGTTTGAGCTCCCCCAAGAACGCCAGCCATCACAGATGCAGCGTGTATTGCCGGTGGAAGACCAATAAGCTGATGAAGGCTGGTGTCCCCTACAGCGGGAGTTGTGGTTAATTGTTTCTGAGCATCTGCAGGATTCCATAAAAAAAAACCAATGTCAGCGCACAGGGACATAAAACTGGCAAGTTTGAAATCTTAAACATACACATAAACTAAATGATGATCAAGAAATGAAATTTCAAACCAACCAACAGTAGATGACATTCCTGGTCCTCCACGACCCTGCAATGCATAAACATATCAAAAATAAGTCAATATCTGCTTCTTTATTGACAACTTCAATTGGTTGAGATTTCCTACTGTCCATGCATGAAATAAATTTTGATTGCACTAACTCCATTTTCGTAATGAAACTACTTAGTTTCAAATATGCAAAGTTACAACATGGCAGTGAAAATTAGTGACGTTATCATGCAATACTACTTCACTATGATCTCCAGAAAATTTAGCATAAAAATAGTGTCCCTATGTAAACCACTATCAACCAATCAACTGCGTCCAGTTGTGAAACTTAGATACACAGTATTTTTTTGTGGGTGCATTCTGACAACTTGGCAACAAAAATCAGCACATACATATCAGCGTCAGTCACTGGTGTGGGGATAGATACAAAGGCTGCTGATAGCAGCTAAGGACATCACACTTATTTTGAGAGAGAAAGGTAGTAATAATATAACAGTAAGCCAAAAGAGAAAGTCAACTGTATATATCATTTCAGAGATAAATTTACTAGTAATTGCAACACCATTGCTTGAGCATATCACAAAGGATGCAACTATAGATGCATTGACCACATATACATCCGCTACAAGATAATTCTTCTTTTGCTATTTGCAGAGAACCTCACGTGTTCAGTACAATTCTGGAGATCTTTGTAAGCATGACATTGCTTTTGTTACCCCAGTAACTTTGGCACGTTACTTTCGTAAAAGAAGGCAGAATCGAGACATTAGAGATGATTTTGGAACCGCGATACCAAAGAAGATTCGCAATAACAGAAAGACAATTCCACCAAGGTAATTTGGCAGAATAGCAGGTGTGCATATGTACAGACAGGAATCTGTACATACATACACATGCCGTGCAAGAAAGCAAAACAGGAGACACATGGTAGTTGGAGAAAAGATAAGTATTATAATTCATGGGAACCAAAACCATACAAGCTTTCATCTTAACATAGGACTTGCTGGGTGAGAAATAAGGTTCTTCTACAGTAATAGACTGAGGATCTTCCACCTTTTCTCTATTTCTGTCAGTGTTCCTCCCATTTTCAGCAAAATCAACACGTAACTGACGACCATTAACATCATGACCCTGAAGGTTCCGGCGTGCACTTAGAGCTGTCTCTTCATCCTTGTATTCACAAAATCCATAACCTTTCGGCTTTCCGGTTTCCTTATCAACAACCAGTCTGCAAGCAATTTTGAGCAGTCAGTATCTAGCAGTCACAGCTCAACAGTGTCATCAGCTTCGTCGAATGCTAAAAAGGTTATCAGGGATAGAAATAACTCATAACCAGTTTCAGTATAATGTCACTTGTTGAGAAACAGTGATCAAGAAGCAGCACACACGTGTATCTTAGGGTTTCTTGTTATTTTTGTTAAGGTTAATTTCCATTTGCATGTGTAGTCCAGGAAGTGATCCCGTAACACTAGCTATATCAGATATTCAGAATATCATTTCAGCATTCAACACTCTTATCTTTCAAAAGGCCCGAGGCAGCATCCATAAGCAGGGCGACCCCTATGACAACCTATTAAGTTCTGAGATCATGCTTAGCAGCAGTGTGCAATAAGGCCATCATACTTAAACAAAATCAATATTCCAGATGTTACACGCTGGATTTAAAAGCATCATGCGCATATAGCTGGCTAACAAATTCCTCATTTTGAAAGAGAATGAAAGAGGGCGCATGGGTATTTTAACAGATATACTGAATAATCCAATAATCTAACAAACATGTGTATCTGCACAACATGGTCAAATTAGAAAACTACATGGTGGCACAACCGCACAAGGACACACAACTGATAGGGTTTGCACAACTAAACCTGAAGGAGACCACGGGCCCGACTTCCTCGCATATCTGCACAAGCTGCTCCTCCGTCGCATCGTACGGAATGTTCCCAACTGCAACCAAATTCAACAGCCAACACCGGCGTCAATCGAACTCCTACTCATACCGCAGCAACTGAACCAACACAACATGTGCGGTAAATATCAGTGTCACACACGTTGAATACAGCACAAGCCAACTGACGGGCACTTTTGTTTGGGGGGAAACAACCCCAAAGGCGTGACGAGTATGAATGATAAAAAAAAAAGGCAAACCCTAGACAGTACGAAAACTCGAATGAAATGAAATTAGACTCCAAATCTAGCGGCGGGAGCAGCTAAACGCGCTTCGCACCACCCAAAACCGCACCGGCCACCCACACGCGAAGGGAAATCCACGGGGAATCGACGGAGGATGCAGCGGCGATTGGGGCCCAAAACGAGCTCTACTCGCGTAGCCGCCAATTGGGGCCAGACCACTCCCACCCGAACCGCGGCGAGAGCTCCTAGCCCGCGGATCGAACCGGAGAAAGGAGCGAGCACGCACGCACGCACGCACATAGAACGGGGAGACCCCGGGAGGGGGCAGGGGGCTGTAAGAGAGAAGGGCGGGGAAGGGGGCGTACCGAAGACGCAGCGGTTCTGGGGGCCCGCGGGGGCGGCCGCCATGCTCAGCTGAGGTCGCCGGCGGCGGCGCGGGGCGGCATCGGCGGCTGGGTAGGGGCCGGAGGCGGTGGTGCGCTGCTGCTGTTTGCGGCTTGCCTCGCTATTTGCAGCGAGTCTGGTCTGGTCTGGATACGTTTCCGCGGGCCTCGCTGCCCAGGTGTTCGTTTATATTGATGTTACGTTTCCGTTTCCGTTTCCGTTTCCGTTCCCGGTCACGTTTCCGTTTGCGTGATCACTTCAGAGTTACACCAACAGCAGGATTGCAATGAAGGCCTGATCATAAAAAAAAAGGTTACTATGAAGGTTTAAAGTAAGTGTATAATATAGGGTGATATAGGTGGGTTAGAAGAGATAACACATCAAATTTGTGATGAGTTGAAGAAGAGAGAAGACAAACACAATAGCATTCAGTGATGGAACCAGGAATACAGCAAGCCTCAGGCCACCTTCGAGCACTATAGCTACAGTCAACGAAGGAAATTGTCTTCACGCCCCATGCAGCTGCCTGGGCCCTAAATCCGCCTCTGGTAGTAGCTATAGTTGTAGCACGGGTTTCAAGAAACAATGTAAGAGAAGGGGGTAAGTTAATAAAATAATAAATATCTGTATCTAACTATTATCTCCACTTCTATAAAAGACTCACTTGGTGATGATGGTGTCTCTGCCGTCCGTCATTTCTGACCATTAGATCTGCATCTAACGGCTGTGAGGTAAGTTGTGGCTTTTTTGCAACAATAGCCCATTTCTCTGCTCCAATTTGCAAAAAATTCCTTATTATCTTGAAAGCAACCACATCCCTCCCTCACCTCATCAAAACAGCCCGAGAAATGTATTTTGAGTGAAATGTAATATGTTTTTAGTGGTACATGTATATCAAAACAAGAGTGTTTTTTTTCAAGCTTGTGAACGAGTATTATTCTACTTTAGATCTGTTGCAACGCACGGACACATTGCTAGTATGGGTTGGTTTTTAGGTTTGCTATGGATGAAATGATTACAAAGTCAACAATTGACTTTACTCCCTCCGTCCAGCTGCATATGACATTTAAGGAGTTGCATCAAAAAAATTAGGTGTGTGGAGATTGGATGGAGGATATTAAACCAAAAATCTATGACAATGACTATTTGGTCTGCTTGGGAAATTGAGAGGATCCAATTATTACGTTGGTTCTCCATGTCATTAATTCCTAAAGACCAGCATGCAAATCCTATTTGATGTGTCGGCCAATGAGAATAGCAGCATGCAAAATGAAAATTAATGATTACGAAGAATGAGGAGCTCCTTCCCCCTATGATGAATTATATATTAAAAATACTAAATTTTTGTTACACGCCCTATGCATCTGGACAACAATGCTCTTATACAGAAGAACAACAATGAATGGTTAGACAGAAGATGTCATGATAGTCCAAAGCAACAACATTACGAAATTTGGACGGGACCATGGGCTTATATGCTCTCTCATGAACACTAAAATCAAAATAATAGTTGAAATTTTATACTTTTAGTGAACATGTCCGTTTTAGTTTAACTTTCTTCAAAATTTTGTATAGGCAAAACCACCTATCACGAGCACACTGTCTCCAACCACATTTGCTATCCTCATTCAGTCCTTTGCCAAATGTTAGTAGGTTACAAACATAATTAATCCCCTATTCGTCATTCTTTTTGTAAGATGCTACTAGCACTGTCAATTAGAGTTCGGAGTTTTAATTACCACAATGAATACTACTTAAGTTGTGTAAGTGCATCTAGTGCCCCTTAGTGATTTTGGTGTATTGAAGACTTATAGGTTAAGGGACTAATGTGTTTGTGAGTATACACAGGCTCTATAAGTCAATAAGGAGTTTGATATTTACAGTGAAAGTCGACCCCTAAAAATGAATGTCTTCGGCTGAAGACTTTGGTTTTCCTGAAGACTTTGAAAGTGAAGAAATTGGTGTGACCTTGAAGACTTCGATATTCATGCGAGGAATCTGAAGCGTGAAGACTTTTATTTTCGTAGTTTCATTTTCTTCTTCTAGAGTCATAGGAAACACCGTATTGTTAAAGGGGGTCGAGGTAATACTAAGGAAACAGATTTCCAAGTGATGCTCATCTCAAAATCCTACACCTACCCAATCCTTCGAGTGAAGCCATTGGAAATCTCATATCAGTTCAGTCAAGTTCTTCAGTGACAGAGACGAAGATCTTCTGGTCTCTGAGGAATTTGTTCAGACTGAGGAGTTAGGAATTCGCTAGTGCGGACTGCCTACACGGTGAGGAACATGATAGCCCTAAGGAATTCAAACCTCAAATCCGACCGTTGTTGTGTGTCGCGCGCCAGCTGTCCCAAAATATCCTACCACCTAACGGTCATATCAGACAAGGGCATTTATGTCTTATCATGTCGGGCGGCTCCCTAGGCTATAAATAGCCGCCCCCTACAACCACTAGCTGGTTGGCTGCTCCGAGAGAAACTGACACTTGTCATTTGAGAGCATCCCATCCTCCGAGGACTTTGAGCAAAAATCATCAAGTAAGGAAAACCCAAATCCCAAACCCAAACCTACAAACCCCAAAGTGATTGAGCATCACTGAAGAGATTGTTCATGTGTGGAACCGACGCTTGTTACCTTTGAGGACTGTGTATCCTCCAGACGGTTAGGCGTCATGGTCTGAGCATCCAAGAGGAATTGTGGATTGCCGAGTGACCAAGTCTGTGAAGGTTTGGAAGTCACCTGTAAAGACTTACCACTACTGTTGGTCGAGGTCTGTGTGATCTTAGCTCAAGGAGAATACGGTGAGGACTGTGTGTCCGGGACTGTGTGTCCTCGAAATACTCAGTCGCTTCAACCAGACGTACAACTGTCATAGCAGTTGGAACTGGTCTATCAAATCATTGTCTTCACCAAGCCTACTGGTTCTATTTCCTCAACCCTCTCATTTCCTCAGTCATGTGTTGATGTACCTGATCATTACTGTTTGAAGACTTTGACTGAAGACTTTCTCTAATTCCTCAATCCTATCTCTTCAGTCTGTTTGTCTTCTTCTTGCTTATCCTATGCTTACGCTTTCTGTACTCTGTGTTTGTCTTTCATTTCATCATGATGACTATGCTGTTGCTCTGTTATGCTTATACCTGAGTATTTATTCCGCTGCAAGTAGTTCTTCGTTTAGGAATTTCCTCACCCTGAAATTCCTCAGTGAAGAATTATTAAAAACCACCTATTCACCCCCCCTCTAGTCGACGTAACGCACTTTCAATTGGTATCAGAGCAAGGTACTCCCTTGTTTTGTGTGATTTTGGTTTAACCGCTTGGAGTTTTAGTTATGTCGACTACAGGTATGATCAAGGTCTCGGTTGGGTGTCCTACCTTTGATGGGACGGACTACCCCTACTGGAAGAACAAGATGTGTATGCATCTTGAGGCAATTGATAATGATCTCTGGTACGTTGTGGAAAATGGCGTTCCCTCGGTCACTCCGTCTCTGAATGCCACTGATGTGAAGAGATTCAAGCAACTCGATTCTCAAGCGTAGAATATCATATGTGACCATCTGAGCAAAGGTCAGTACGGTAGAGTGAGTGCACTCGAAACTGCTAAGCTGATTTGTGACAGGCTGTCCAAGGTCAATGAAGGAGTCTCAACTCAATGTGACTCCCGAGTTGATGTTCTTCACAATCTCTTCAATCGCTTCAAAAGACTCGACAACGAAAATGTTCAGCAAACCTTCGATCGCCTCACTGACATCTCAAATGAGCTTCAAGCACTTGGTGCTACTGATATCACCGACCATGAGGTGGTGAAGAAATTGCTGAGATCACTTGACACCTCATTTGATACCCTCGCACTGATGATTCAAGAATGAGCTGATTACAAGTCACTTGATCCCGCTGATATCCTTGAGAGGCTAAACACTCATGAGTTCCAGCTCGCTGAGAAGAGAGATCTCTATGGACCGAGCTATGAAAGATCACGTGCACTGAAGGCCAAGGCAGTATTTGAGTCCGAAGCTGAGGATTCTGGTAGCAGCATTGGTGATCCTGAAGAATTGAACCAAGAGCTAGCAATGCTCGTGAGGAAATTCCAGAAGTTCTCTCGCCGTAGCCATTTTGGTAAGTCTTCAAAAAATGATGATTCCTCATCCCGTGACTACAAAAAGAGAACTTGCCACAAATGCAAGAAACCTGGTCACTACATGTCTGATTGTCCTCTGTGGGAAAAGGAATCAAAGAAGAAGAAGTACAAAGATGATGATTCTGATGACTCAAAAAGGAAGAAGAAATCTTCAAAGTCTTCAACATCAAAATCCTCAAAGTCTTCAACTCACAAGAAGAGCAGTTCCAAGAAGGCTCGACCATTCATTGGCAAGGAAATGGACTCTTTAGCGGAATCTGAGGATAATGCGAAAGAGGAGGAATCTGAGGAATCTGACTCTGGTGTGGCTAGCCTAGCCCTCGCTACTGCTTACGTCAGCAAGTCCATCTTCAACACTGAAGAAAATGACTTCCCCGACTCTGCTGACAAGGGCAACGATGACTATGCTCCCACCTATTGCTTCATGGCAAAAGGTGCCAAGGTACTCAAACATTCCCCCTCTGACTCTAGTGAGGATGAATCTGATGACAATCTCAAGCCTAACTATTCAAAACTTGCTAAAATTGCTGTTAAACAATAGAAGGCTTTAGAAAAGATTCAAAATCAACTAGACAGAAGCGATGACCTGTTGGGTGAGGAATTGAATCAAACTAAGACTCTGACAAATAATCTTCAGAGACTTCAAACTCGGTTTGACAACCTTCAAAATCATCATAACACTCTCTTAACTGATCATGAGAAGCTTTTTTATGAATTTCTTCAGAGAAAGCAAGATCTTGAGAAGTTAAAAGCGAGTTATGAAGATCTTCAGAAGGAAAGCGATTCATTGCTTGCTCAACAGATCAGTTACGCTCAGGAAGAATTTATTCCACCATGTCTGAAATGCATTGAGCGTGAATCTGCTAATTCATCACCTGAAT